GATTATCTCAAAATCTATTTTTATATCTAATTATAAAATTTTAAATTTCAAAAATGGTTAAAATCAAGTAGATCTATAAACATATGAAGATCTTGAAAATGGACGGTGCAGATAATATGCTGTAAAATGCATTATTTTTTAGACTTAAAATCTTTTTATTTTTCATGGTCATACATCTCGATGTCCAGAGGATCAATCAAAGGGTTTTTCAACATTAAAACTACCTTTTTCGATGGATTTTTTAGGTACATCTGTAGTTCTACATTATAACATTGCAACCTTATAGAGAAAATTACATAAATATCCGTTATATTTTACGTTATTATATATTTACCAAATAGTTTCCATTATTACATGTATATCTGTTTTTTTACCTTTTATAATACAAATTTTTTAAAAAGACGACTTTACCCTTTTTCGGATGTTGAACAACCGAGTTGGAGGGTTTTTCAAATGTTTAATATCTGAAAATAGGTCGAAAGTTTAACGTTCACATTCCCATTTTCGGGTGTTGAACATCTAAATTGAAGGATCGATACATTGTATTCCTTGTGAAAATGGTTTCGGATGTTGGACGTCCAAAAATATCACATTTTCGGACGTTGAACATCAAAAAATGGTTTCGGATGTTGGACATCCGAAAATGTCATATTTTCGGATGTTCATCATCTAAAAATGACTGCTAAATTTCAAAGACTTTTTGTAAATTCAAAGTTATATTTTCGGACGTTGACCATCTGAAAATATGACATTTTCGGATGCCCAACATCCGAAACCATTTTCGGATTTTCAACATCCGAAAAATCCTTCAATTTGGTTGTTCAACACTTAAAAATATGAATGTGAACATTAAACTTTCGGCTTATTTTCGGATGTTGAACATCCGAAAAACCCTTAAATTCGGTTATTCAACATCCGAAAAATGGTAAAGCCATCTTTTTAAAAAAATTGTATTATGAAAGGTAAAAAACGAACATACATGTAATAATAGAAACTATTTGATACATTCGTAATAACGCAAAGTATAACAGATATGTATGTAATTTTCCCATCCTTATATAAACTTTTTCCTTTTTTTAAACTATCAAGTTTTGTGAAAAGTACTCGAGAGAAATATTTATCGCTACCAAGCCTTTTTTCTCCCTTTCAAATAATGATCCAATGCAACGGTTGTATTATAGTATGGGCAAGTTTTCTATGCTTCCCCTACAACATAAAATTTATATACTTCACCACAATATTTTAAGCCTCAGGACCACCTATATAGTTTTGTAAATCGAAACACAACAAACCTCTCAATAACGTGACTTAAAAATAAATAAATAAATAAATAATAATAATAATAATAAGGCAAAAGAAAAGAAAAGAAGAAGTGAGTACATATGTGCACCCTAGAAACTACTCTATTTTTTTAAACTATTAGGTTTTGAGAAAAGTACATTCAAGGTATGACCAAGAGAAAGACTTATCAATTTTTTAAAATATTTAGTATTTAAATAGATTTACGCAATAAAATCTGCACATATACTTTATCAAATAAGGGTCCACTATAATACTATAAACCCAAGACCAAAGCTCTATCGTTTTGACAAATAGGCTCCGAAGGAAAATTCTTAGTTTAGTGGTCTCGCTAGGTTACGTAGTTATTAATAAATAAATATTTACATTAATCTCACGTATAAATAGGAATCAATTTTTTCATTATCTTAGGCAAACAAAATTTGTTATTGCAGATCTTCTTTTATAGGTGATTTATATAGAGAATATACAAATTGTTAGGACTAAAAATTTACCTGATCCGAATCCGAAACCCGAATTTCGGATCTTATTCAGATCTGGGTACGGATTGAAAGTACAAATAATTAGCACTGAAAATACAAATAGTTAGGATTGAAAATTTATCTTGCTATTATCGTTATTTTGCTGATAAACGGGATTCCTGACATTGTCCTCTTAAATAATAAAGTTCCAAGCTCAATTGTCATTCATTCCAACAAGCTCTATGATGAAGTATCGGACTCCATTCTCACAAAAAAAGGTAAGGCCCAAATCCCATTGATTTACCTTTTACTTATCCAAAAAAAGCAAGTGCCACCCATTCCGGTGTAAGTGACTTCTACATGAATGGGTAGCATTCAGGTTTTAGATGATGGGTTTTGTTAGGCTACACCACTTGGTGGTGTATACCCTTAAACTCCTCAAAATTTTTTGACATTTAGATACCTTTATTCTATAGTATAGTAACCTTTTGTCTAGGGGCATTTTAAGTAATTAATCAAAAGCAAAGTAGAAATTCACAAAAGCATTTAGTAACAATAGTGGACAATAGCATTACCAACATGGTGTGTAACATTACCCATAACATACATTAATTGTTTTTTAACTACGGATCGAAGCCACTGTTTTTTTATAAAAATATCCAGTCTACCTTTCTAAATGACAAAAAATGCTCATACTAAAAAAACTTTGCATTACAATTCAAGGGTATACACCACCAAGTGGTGTAGCCTAACAAAACCCTTAGATGAAATAATTAGTGGTCATAGTGTACGAATGTGAATAAAAACTTTTTATGATGTTTGAGGAACTTATATAAAATTTGTCCTAAATACTAATGAGGTAAGGAAAAAGTTTAGGATGTCGTTTCTATGAATCCTTGGACTCACATGTAAAAATGCGGGCCCCTTAATAATTTATTTTTGAAATAAAATTTGATCTTAATTTTTAAAGAATATATAATTTTTAACATGGAGATTATTAATATGTAAAAATAAATAAAATTTTAAAATTAGTAATTATATTTTTTTGAGTAACAAGTGCGGGTTTGGATATACCAAACAATTTTCCATAAGTTTATATGAGGGCAGCCCGCATTGTAATTGCCCATAGCTACCATCCAACTTGTTGGAAATTGGTGGACATTGGTTTTGGATGGTGGTGATGGGGAGTTACCATACTGCCCATACGCTAACCACATCCATGAAGTAAACCTAAAGATCCAATTTTGTTTTTCTTTAGCTTTTCCCTTCTTGATTTCTTCTTCCTTCTTTAAATCAGCTCAAATCTCATTGAACCCAAAAATCTCATACAATTATTTTTAGCTTTCTTGTTTTTTTTTCTCTAAATATAATTGCCATGGCACATCAGGATATATGTTTTGTCTGCTCCCTTTCTTAAGTTATTTATTAATTTTTTTTAAAAAAATGCCATTAAAAGTAAAATGAAAAAATTAGTTTTCTTTAGATCTTTATTTAACCTAATCAAGAGGACAATTAGTTTGTCCTTGCAACCTCTCCCTAAGGTAATCAACCAAAATTAGTAATGAATGGAGATTAAAATTTGACCTCACATGAATTTGTTCTAGATGTCTAACCCTATTTAGTACGGGAGATCTCCCTACTTGTCTCCACGCATGGACATTTTGTGCGCCTAGAGAATTATAGTCAACTGTTTTTTATCAGATAGCTAAAAGTGAGCCGACACCAAAGTCATAGGTGCATACCTACTGTTTTCTTCGAGTTCTAACTATGTGTGACATGGCTACTAAGTTATTTCGATCAGTATCGGATGGTTCATGTCTCCTCACATAGAAATTTTGTAGAAAGACAGAATACAAAGCTTACCCAATGGATGAAAAGACAAAAGACAAAAGACAAAGACAAGATAAGAAATAGAGCGTCGAGCAAACTACCTACTTACTATTTTTCTCAATTTAAAAATTAAAATCTACTCCAACACTTCAAGATGAGTATTTTTAGAAAAAAACAATAAATAGAAAATCCTAAACTCATATCAAAATTGATACAATCTGTTGGCTTGCAACATTTCATTATTATATTTCTTTCATCAACAAATGGCCACATACAATCAATTACACAATGGTGGAGAGAGAGATAAGAGAGAATGGACCATATGTAGGTAAGAAAATGAGACATAATACTTGGCTTGAGCCAGAGAGATATTGAGATTAATCTATCACCCCCACACTCTAATCATCACATTGTGACACATTGTGGTTTTCATTCCCACTGCCACCGTCCTACTAACGCCTTCAAAAAACTAACTTTTAAGTTATTTGAAAAAACGAGGAGGGGCTTGTCTTCCCCACTGAATTACCCCAAAACAAACAAAACAAAGATTATATATGTCCCCCACTACATTCCTTGAAAACAAATTCCCATATTTAAGCCAACAAACCAGATTTAACCTCACCATAGAGCACAAATGGGCCTCATCTCTTAATAAACAAGCCTTTCAAAGTCATAGAAGTCACACTACATTCCTCGAAAAAAAAGAAATGCCCATATTCAAGCCAACAAACCACATTTAATCCCACCATAAAGCACCTATGGGCCTCGTCTCTTAGTAAACACAAGTATTCAAAGTTATAGGTGTCCATAACACAATCTCAATATCGATTTAAGCAAATAAATAGAACAAAGTATCACATTAGCTGGTCAGCTAGCCATATGATTTAGCTTGGGGATTGTCTACAAAGAGACCATTTATCTTTTATATATGGAGGTCACAATTATTCTTGTTCCTTAAATTTCAAAATGGGTGATTGTAAGGCTGTCATTGAATAGATACAAGTTCCAAAAAAAAATCTCAAACTTCATGACTCACCCCAAGCCATCCAATTTGACATCTAATGAGTGGGAATAATTGTGATCTCTATGTAGATAAATGGTCTCTTTGTAGACAAACCCTTTAGCTTGGTTTGGTAAACCTTTGAATGGCTGGTGGGGTGATTCTCTGCATTTCTGCTCCATTTCAAGCCCTAAAAATGAGTATGTTGAAAGTGTCACTCCTTGCCTTAGAGAGCTCAAACACGCATGCATCACCTTCCTTCAAATCATTATCTGTTACGAATTTTTTCCAACCACTGCTAATTCTAGTTTTTCCCCTAGCCCATGAAATCTTTGCAGGCCATGAATTTTTCATGTTTGGAACTTGGAGCTTGATATTTTGGTCCTTTGTCAAGACATCCATAGCTACAAACTTATGTGGAATAGTCTAGACATGCACAAAGATAAGCAACTTAACGCCATACTTGTTATAGAAAGGAAGGATAGAAAACAAGGATAAACAATAAAGGAAAATAAATTAGGGAATCATGAAGGTTTGAAATAACCTGGTGTACTTTGTTATATGGGACTCCATAGCTATATCCATTGTATGTTGCCACTGATGGATGGTTGGAGATTGACAAAAATAGGGTCCATAGGGACATTCACCCCGCTGGGTTTAACTGCACCAACCATTCTTTTGTTAAAGTGGGGTGTGGATATAAAGCCCGAGTACTGAATATAGCATAGTCCACCATACTATGGAGTACTTCCCCCAAACAAACATTTATTGATTACCTTGAATAGCAGTCTTAGAAATGCAAGAATTTCTCCTTTTCTTAATTGATATACATGCAATATAATTCCTCCACACACATGCACAAATGCCATAGATTGCTTGATTACCTTCTATAGCATTGTAACAAGAATATTCCCTCATGCACACATACACACAAGTTGATACTACATTGAATGTTGGTTGTCCTTTTTTCTGAGTCAAGGTAACTGATATTGAATGCTAGTTTTCTTGTTCACTGAACAGTAAAATTGAATGTTGCATTCCAGTAACAAGAATGATGGATGATTTGAAGACAATTGCTTTCATCATGTCATTAGAAGCCCTTTATTTTCTCCTCTGTTGAAAATGATGGCATTTAAAATCTTAAGGAGATACTGATTGAATCAATGTTTAGAAAACCTAGCAAGGCAAACATGCTTCCAGTGAACCACATGGATCTTCTTTCTTTGGTCACCTCAGTACCAACCTAATATGATTCTTTAAGAGCCTGTTGACCAATTGACCATTACTGTGATCATAAAACATATACCAATATGATCTTGGTGAAGTTTGCAAGACCTCTAATGGATGTAGCACCTTACTCTTCCACCAAATCAAAACTCTTTTTGGCATTGAATCAATCATCGGTATTAGAAGTGCCATTTAGGAACATCCACAAACCTAAATATGAAAGCTTTCAATAGTTCTGCTCACTGCATTTGCACCAAATCCACACTACTTTTATTCATGTGATTACCATAGGTATAATCTCATTAAAGTTTACATTTTACCAACATTTCCTAGAATTCTCATTTAGCAACATCATTTTTTAAACAATCAGATAGTGGTAACAGTAATTGTGAGGATACCAAAGAAACCCATTCTACCATTAAGCTCAAACTAAGCTTTAGACAACATCACTCTTCTCTTTAGACAACATATTCTCCACCTACCCTTTAGACAACATATTCTCCAACAACCCAATCCAGGAGAATGGTGATATTGAATAGCAAGAGGTCAAGCTCCAAGCAAATATATGTTAATCAGGCTTTCACATTGACAGATAGCAGAGAGCAACAAAAAAATTGACACAACAAAGGATATGATATAAAAAGTCATATGATACCAACAAAACACTTTGTCACACTTTTAACAAGTAGTTATGGTTCACAGTATCTCCACAATTATCACAATTCATAATAGATTCATGGTTTGCCAAAAGTAGTTTGTAATGTTAGATTATTATTCAAAATATAATATGTAACTGATGGACTTTTGTCCATGTCTTGATTAGGATAGAAAATATTAAGATAGAAGATATTGTACATTGAAATATTCATTGAACGAATTGGGTGGGTAGCTCGTAAAATCCTCCTCTACAATGGAAGAGTTCATCTAAAATGGTTTGTGACTGAAAACAAAAATTGACATATATTCAAATAGCTCGCTTACATCCAACAAATTACAAATCAATGTCTGAATAGGGCTGTTAAATTGTTTCTTTAACTCTTTTTTTTCCCTCGATGAGTCCTGCGTTAGCTTTTGTTTTATGGAAAGTCTCCTTAACTGTATTTAGTTTCCCAAATCCAGTTGAAGGAAAAAAGTAATCTATCTAAGAGAAAAGGTACAGTGAGAAACCGTATCTCCTACTTGCAGTGACACTGTTTGGCTCAATGCTCGTCTAGGTGATCGAGGCACGCACCTTTTATCCCATAGCACGTCGTTGCAATCATGTTCTAGTGATTCACATGGCCTCTATTCCAGTTACAATTCATGCCACTGCTGCAATTAATGGTACACCACATTAGTGTTATAATCTCTAAAAGAAACTTTCTTCCCATTAACTTATTTTCTCAAAACCACATTTAATTTGAAGGGAACTAATAGACTATCATATAGAACTTGAAGGGAATCTAAGACATTGTTTAGTTTTTTGTACTGATGACATTCATCTGTTCCATAATAGTAGTATGGACAATTGTATACTCTCAGAAGGGTAACTTTCCGTCATCATCATTTCTACTTTCATGCAAAAGATACCTTATTTGTGACCTTTCCTGGATATTTGTTTTGGATAATATAAATAGATGGGTGCGGTTTGTATAGAGCTAGGGTTCTAAACAATCAAAGTAGAGCGCACCTTCAAATAGTATCGAAAAATATGGTTTCAATACTGGAAATCTTTGTGATAACCTTAAAATATATTTTCATCTGTAATTATAAAATTTAAAGCTTAAAAAATAGTGTACATCAAGCAGATATATGAAAACTAGAAAATCTGACAATCCAAAAATGCAATACAAGATGCACTATTTCCAAAACTTGAAATCCATTTTTTTCTCATGTCCGTGAATCTTGATGTCGAGATGATCAATTTGAGGACATTTGGGCACCAAGACAACATCTTCTAGTGAAATTTTTGAGGTGCGCTTTAATTTGTTGTTTAGAGCCTCGACTTTATATAAACTTTTTCCTAAATGGACAAGCAGATAATACAGTTCCATGTGTTATTTATGCCATGCTTGTTAGTGCTATATCCATTCAATTAAAAAGACTAAATAAAAAAATAATAATAAAGGAGAGTTAAAGGAACCCACAAAGCTACCTTTTTCGTATCCATATCCTTGTTTGCTAACATGTTCAATAAGTTGGCTTGGCTTCCTTATTTATATGATAGAATTCGGTGATAAATAAGCATGGCTGGGTGACGGAACTAGACAATAGATGAATAATTGATTGGCAAGCAAGGTTTCAAGTGTTAATGAAACTAGACAATACAGGAATAGTTCATGGTACAATAGTGAAATTCCTTGGACAAAAGAAGATTATTAGATGACTGTAGAATGTATCAACCATGGTAGAACAAAATAACTTGAACTGTTAATAATAAAGAAAGTGAAAAATTAACTTGGGAATTTTATGCTAATAGTTATAACGCATACATGCACTAGAATATTACCCTACTATATGTACACTAGAATGTGTGCAACTCAATCATTGTTCATAGATTGATACATTGTGCCTTATAAACCCCATGAAAAACTTGTTTTAAAATAATTCTTAAATAAAAAATTTTAGGAAAAATTATTTCCTTGAATTGTGTTGGTAAAACAATAACATGGAAAGACAAATATATGAAATTTTAATCCAAAAAAAGAAGGAAAACTCACCACATTGAATTTGGAAGAAACTAATGTGCTCCTCATAACCACGATGAAGTGGAGATGAGTAGTCCTAAATGATTGGGCTTTCTGAATTGCTCCTTCATTCTGCTTGTCAGTGACCAAGTTCTCAGATGCTTTAACAATGGCAGGTGGAGACTCTGACATATTTTTCTCTACTGGACTATATTTCTCAGAGCATTCAACATCAAATGCATCATCTCTCTCACATGCAATCTCATCAAATATATTGATAAGAAAATGAGTATCACCATCGTAGTAAAATACTAAGAAATCCCCATCATTCAAAGAATGGTCTTCAACAAATTTCTTCCATCCTCTAGAGAAACACAAGGCATCCCCAACTTCTTCAACCTCAACGTTCCAACAGTTTCCACTTGGACCCTCCAAGACAGCTTCATGAAATCCTTTCTTGAAGTTATGCCAAAAAGCTGGTGGAATGATCTAAGAAAATACAAAGTTGATTTAACCACCACATTGTATGAAAAAGAAGAAATATTATGCCTTTCTTTTGATAAGTAACATGATACCTTACTTATAAACCAATGTTAAAAAACAAGGTTATGATTTGACAGGCTCACGAGTTTGAGTCTTTCTTATTGATTATGCCAGATATGTCACGGACTTTGTCGAGTTTGTACAAGTAATAGTGAAAAAATACAGGAAAAAGAAACCCAGTTTGACCCGTTCCCACATGAACTCAGCGCCCTACCGAGTCCGAGTAACTCGGATGAGTCCAAGTGCTGAGTGGATTTGCCCAAGTTTTAGAACATTGTTATATACACAAGAATGACATGAACCTTTTAAAGAAATTTTAGATGGCTTCCCACTCATTATCAGATCTTACATTTCTCTTATTTTCTTTTCTTTTCATTTTTTTTTTGTATTTCTTTCTTATCTCAGTCCTGTTTTCCTATAAGTTCTTCAATTCTAGAATTTATTTACATACAAAAAAAGCAACAAAAGCTCATTAACACATACCAAGTTACTAACATGCATTAACAACTCGACCTACAATCATTTGTAAGATGATTTAGTTCACAGTTTTACTATATGATTTAAACTTTAAACTTTAAAGAGAAACACCCATAAAAATGCCATGAATGTTGCTAATCATGGTAGAATTCACTTGACAATTGCATGAGGAAAAGTTTAAGAGCTAATGTTTGAGTGTCCTATACTTTGCCAACACCTCCCCCAACCTTTAGATGTCAACAAGGGACGGCAAAGGTGTGTTGATCTGCTGTTTAAAATTCAATCAGAAAATTTGATGGGCTTTCATCATAGAAATGACCCACCCACGGGCCAACCATCTATTGTTGAGTTGGGAAAGTGCTAGTGCACAGTAGGAAATTCGACTACTAACATGGCATACAAACCTTTTGTATAATACTTATAGAAAATCATTATCTATAATACAATACCACTCCAAATGATACTACATTATAGCATTCCAAATAATGAACCCATGAGACAAAAGACCAATTTATCCGGGCAAAAAATTATGTATGTCAAAACCTTATGTGCTCTCTGCGGGAGCATATTGTCCATTAAAATTGTGGGACCCAATTTTGGAAGGATTAGAAAGTCAAAAAATAGATCCTTAAAAGTTTGAAAAAAGAGATTTTCTAATTTTGGAAGGATTAGAAAGTAAAAAAATAAAAATAAAAATCTTTCTGCTATAAATACCCATCTAGTGATAATTTTAAAGTACATCTTCAGAAAATACTCATGAGTAGCCCCTTTGCTCGAGGAAGTAAATGTATAGGGTGCTCCTGCAGAAGTATGCTCTACTCCCTCATTACATGTTATATTTGTGCACAGCGTTTTCCATTTTCACCAATTTATTAGCTATTCCTATTTAAGAAAGCCCATGTATTTTTGGGTGGGAATATAGAAAAATATAATTGAGAATAGCAGGCCTTTTCAATTAAAATTTTTTCCCTCTTCATTTCATCATTTTAAAAAGGTTATTTAGAAAAATGGTTTACAAACGTATCATATTTCCAACTCAAAAAAAAAAAAGAAAAAAAAGTATGGGCATCATCCATCTAGAGGTTCTTTGCATTCTCACCCATCTATTTGATATTCACACCTAAAAAAAATTTATGTGCTATTATTCCCTCCCTCGTGTAAGAAATTTTTTTTCAAAAAAAAGTAGTTTATGCGTCGGGAGACGCATTTCTACATTGACAAACCATCCATACATAAAAAGTAGTTTATGTGTCGGGGGGACACATATATATACGTTCACAATCAGGAAGACAGATTAAAAAAAACCGTGAAAGTTTTAGAGAGAAATATTCAAAACAATCGTGAACGTTTTGGAGAGAGAAATCTTCAAATAACCTTGAAAGTTTTAGAGAGAGATTCAAACAGCCATGAAATTTTTAGTTTTAGAAAGAGGAGGAGGGCATGGTGAAGGTTTTTACCATTTTCTTGGAGAAATTGCGAAGCATAAGCTTTGGCGGTGGTCCTCCTGATCGTGAACACAAAATTTGTCCATCCTTCACTGTGATAACAAGGTTCTCTCTCTCTCTCAGCTAGATGCAAACCAGTAAACACATTTACAGTTAAAATGCTATTTGAAACCCTCAGTCAAGGTCCTCCCAAACCCTAAGGTTCTTTTCTAATTCCATTGGATATTTGTCTGAACTTTGTAAATGTTCTTTTTTCCTAAATTTACGTTACGTGCTTTAAAGTTTTTGAGTTCAGCTGCAAAGGGATTTCTTCTATACTGTAAATAGAAACCAACAACTTATTTCTTTGAAACCCTGAACGCTGATGACAGTCCAGGTTCTAATTTTTTCTGAATTTATCTGACATTTCTGAGTGAAGCTGAAAGGGGAAACTAACCAGAATAAGAAAGAACTGTTCATATTAATCCATATTATCTCATTTCTTTAAATTGACGGTTGGATCAACTTTATCTAGTTTAAATTTACTTTTTCAACCCAAACAACTTGTAAAAAAAAATTTATGTCGTAAATCAATCCGCTCTGTACGTGTTATTTGCCTAAAACGTCTCTTTCTCTCTCCCAAACTCTCTCTCTCCTTCCCATTTTTCTCTCCTTATTTTCGTCAACCCCCTCTCTCTCTTTTCCCAATTTCTAGGGGTGGCAATGGGTCCGGTCCAACTGGACCCAAACTCGGACCTAGACCCAAATGTATTCGGGTTCAAATCTTGGACCCGGAACCGACCCGTCGCGTTCAAAAGTTGGAACCATACCCGTATTCGTCGAGGTCCCGAGTCTATCCAGTCGGGTCCATTGTTACCCTCAATGAGCTTCTTTTTTACAAGCCTACAATGGTCAACAACATAGAACTGATTTTTGAGGTGCGGGCGATTGGAGAGAGACATTCAAGATCTAGAGAGAGCTATGTCTCCAAGAACCTGAGCGAGGGGAAATTACGGAAAAGGAGGATGGCGATGCGGTTTGGCCGTTCGGGGAACCAGAAGAAAGCGACAAGTATTGAAATGATTTTAGGATTGGGTCTTTGGCATTTTGGTAAACTAAAAATTTGGGTCCAGGTACCAGTCGGGCGCAGTATAACAAGATCCGTACCCGGACCAGAGATTATCTGGGTATCTTTTATTAAACCTGGACCTTACTCGCAGGTCCAAAATTTGGACCTATACCTTGACCCATGTCAAGTATACCTGGCAGGTATGGTTTGAGTCGGGGTCCATTGCCACCCCTATCAACCTCTCCTTCAACCCCCTCTCTCTCTCCCAACCTCTCTCTCCTGCCCGGCCCACTCTCTTTCTTGAATCTCTCTGCTTCTAGATTCAACGCTTCACGAGTTTAAGGAAACCACCCATCTGACTCAACCTCCTAAAAACGAGTTGCTTGGGTTCTTCTCTTATGGAGACTCCCCCTGCTTCTCCCTCTCCAATTTATAGCCCCCAAAACTGCATTACTCGCTCTCCACCTAGTGAGCAGCTCTACTTTTCTCAGGCTTGGGGCAAGAAGCAAGAAGGATTCGCCTGCTCCTCCAATGGCTAAGAGAATGAAACCAGTTGTGTGAAGGAGAAGAGAGAGGAGAGAGAGAGTTGAAATTAGAGCCCACCTCTAAACAATCAAATTATAGCCCATCTCAAAAATTTCACTCGGCATCAAGGTGAATGGACATGAGAAAAAAAATGGATTTCAAGTTTTTAAAAATAGTGTATCTTGTAACACATTTTTGGACCGTCAATTTTCAAGATTTTCAAGTTTTCGTAGATTTGCTCGATCTACACTATTTTCTATTTTTTAAGCTTTCAATTTTATAATTAAAAATAAAAATATATTTTAAAGCTATCACAAAGATTTTCAGTATTGAAATCATATTTCTCGACACTATTTGAAGGTGTGATTTACTTTGATTGTTTAGAGCCTCGGCTCTATACAATTTCGTGTAGTTTGATAGTATTAACCTTAAGAGGCCTTAACCGAATGATAATTGGGGGTAAAACTACCAAATTGTGATTATCATGGCTTCCCAACACCAAACAATGACAATTTGAAATTTGTTTGACATTGTTTTGATGATGTACCTGATTGATATTAGAATTAAATTTAAACTCCTATACTCTAGTATAAATTATAATTTTTTGACCACTTGAATAACATTTTAAAGGGTTTCAACCCATTTTTTTTATATTTTCCCTATTTTATCTTTTGATATATGTGTATTGGAGGTATAGATAAGGATCTTTGAAATTCTTTTACTTGGTTTTTTCCCTATTTTATCTTTTGATATATGTGTCTTGGAGGTATAGATAAGGATTTTTGAAATTCTTTTACTTGGTTTGTGAAGAAATGTTAGAGACAGCCGAACAAGGGTAGTTTGAACTGACATGAGTTTTTCAACTGAACCCGAGGGAAATAGCCGATAAATTTTGGGGATGTGAGTTTCCCCTGAAGTATAATGTACAATATGCTAGAAGGAATGAAATGTACCATGGTCACAACATATTAAAAGGGATGAAATGTCCCATGGTCGCTCTCTCCATAAGTATACTGTAAAATATGTTACAAGGAATAAAATTTCCCATGATCACATATATTAAAAGGGATGAAATGTGCCAGTCACTCACGCTAACACATTTGGTATGCATGATCATACTTTCGTGAAAAGTATTTTCACATAAAAAAATTTCTTCATGCGATCAAATATAGTAGATTTCTCACACCAAAGATTTCTCACACCAATTGATCCCTACATTCTTTTCAAACTCCGACACCTAATTGTATGAGGGAGTTCTTTCATGTGAAAATATTTTTATACAAATATTTTCACACATACCATACGTGCCCTATATTTTCCCCTGCTAATGTAAAGGTTAGATGCAAGGGTTTGGTTTATATAAGGCGCCAACCTTAACGATCGAAGCACAGTGTATTTTCCCCTGCTAAATGCTCAAACTTCGCTGATATAGGCGGCACACCCAAGCATGTTGCTTAGTTCTTGACCAGAACTAAGCTTACAAGAAATTAAAACAAGTTATTGTTAATAAAAGGTCTTATGAATCATTGTCATATAGCAAAGTACATATACTTAACATTACTGAAGAAGATTCAAGTCAATTTCAGAAATGATATGGGATCAAATCATGATATATTTGAAGGGATGTGAGAGAGCGAACATGGATTTATGTAGCTTGAAAGCATTCCATATAACACAGAAATCCATATTTTCTATCGTAAAATCCCTTTACTTATTCGAATAAAGAAAAGGCGATTTCTTTTATACCACACAGTAACAGTAGAACAGTCTTTCTCCATGCATTGGAACAGAAAGGGGATAAGTCCCTCATATTATATCATTGTGAAACCATTCTTTGTCTCCCTTACAATGCCATTATCAATTTGAAACCATGCTTTCTGTCTCCTTTACAAAGCCATCACCAGTCCAGTCCTTATCAGATTGCAAGCCTTTTTTGATTGCTTTCCTCTGCTTTATTGCTTCTTGTTGCCGCTTCACCAAATCCGTGTGAGTTGTAAAATATTGCAGAGATACCCTGGTAAAATAGAAAAGAAGAAACGACAAGAATACTATTATAAGTGATAGAGAGAGAGAGAGAGAGAGAGAGATTCCCGGCCATAACATCATTGTTATGTGAGGATATTATTTGTTATCAATAATTAAATAACAAGGAAAACGAAGTTTGAGTTATGCTCTTCTGATAATCACCCTTTGAAATCCTTGATCGATGTGAAATTGTGCATCCTCATGAAGTCCTTCAACTCAGCACACAGTTTCTTCACAAGGCCATAACCATGCATCATCACACCTGTGCAAACCTGTCAAATACAATGACCCGTAAGGGCACAAAATTAAAAAAGAAAAATAAAAAGAACAAAGAAAAAAATAATTATCTGTATATCTGAAATTTGTTATGTAAAAGAAGAAATTAGCTAAGATGAATTTTCCGTTGTACGGGCAATAGCTACATTTTGGCCACCAAAAGGAAAAGGAAAACCAGTTTCCATATCCAAATTAATATAAAAGGCTTAGGAAAACCTAAGAAAAAATCTCTTGGCTTAGAGGAACTCAAGGTTCAACAGGAAGATGAAAGCAAGAGAGACGTACAGTTGAAGACTTCGTTTTAGTGACCTGGTTTTGAATGGATAAGCCTGAAGTGATGTGCTCGTTTGAGTATGAATATAAAAGCTCTGCTAATCAGAATTGTTTTATTATTGATTAAAATGAAACAAGTAAGCAATCGTAAATAATGTAAAAGTTTAAAAATGAGAAATTGAGAACAAAAGAATAGAAGGAAACTCTTTCAGTTTCTACGTACAATTATCAGCTTAAAGCCTAACCTGAACAGTGTCTGCTCCGACAAGAATAAACTCAGCAGCATGGTCCCCTGTCTCAACTCCTCCAATTCCTGAAAGTGAACGACCTTCATTACTGAATTCCAACTTCATCATCTGTGCAATGCTCATAACCCTTGCAAGAGCAATAGGACGCACTGCCTTGGAAGAATATCCTCCTGGCGTTGAATACCTGGATTAAAAAAAACCCTACAAGATCATAAGGAGTTCCATGAAACCAGAAAAATAATAAAAATTCAAAATTTAAAATAGTTACTCATCCAGAAAATCTATTTGTGAAGATGTGGGTTTCTAAAGACTAACCCCTCAACAGAAGGCTCCGGACGTAGAGTTTTGAGATCAATCCCCATGACACTCATAATGGTGTTAATCGCTGAGACCCCCTCACATCCCGACTCCAATGAAACTCTAGCAGGCTATAGACAACACAAAAAGAATATCAACAATTCTCTCAACAAGATATGAAAATAGGGAAAAGTACAAAAATGGTGTATATACTATATAATACACAGGCAGGCATTTCAAAGATCAACAGTGGACCATCCATCTTGAGAATAGATGGCAGGTCCACCTGTGCACTGTAAAGCATAAAACTCACAAATATGCCATACTTTCCCAAAGTATTAATCCACATAATGGTCATTCCATCGGTTTCATGTGTAAAGAATTGCACATTACAAATGCCCAATGTAACAAAAGGAAAACATTGAAGTAAGTCGAGATAAAACAGCCAACATTGGAGGAGGTTTTCATGATCTGTATGAACTTCCAAGAACGATGAAATAACTTAGACAACAACCATTAATAATTTTACATCTCGAGACAAACATTATTACTTAGTGCATGTTTGGTTGGTGTGAAAATGCGTAAAATTGCCTTACACATGTTTGGTAAGGGAAGAAAGCATATGAAAACAAAACTCATTGTAAAACATTTTAGCATAAAATGGTCCCATTTACATGAAAACAAAACCACATCTACCCATGGGGAAGTATTTCCCAGGTTTTATTTTCACATGCAGACCCACTATTCACTATTGACTATTTACAATATAAAATATATTATACTATTATATTTATTTATTAAATAATATATTTAATATATAAATTATATTTCAATAATAATATATAAATAATACTTCATATAAATAATATACTATATTATTAATATATATATTTTAATTATATTATAATAAATATATATCATATATTATATATTAAATAACATATACTAGTATAATATAACATAATATAATAATATATTATATGTTAGTTTATATTTTATTATATATCATCATCATTTTAGCATTTTTCCAATTAATTGGGGTCGGCTACATGAATCCTGGTTCTTCATTCTGCTCTGCCATAAGTCCCCATGTCTTTTCGGACTACTTCCAACCACGTCCTTTTGGGCCTACCATATTTTATTATATATGTAATATATATTATTAATATATATTTATATTATATATAATATATAATGCTTATATTATATTATGATATATATTTATATAAAAAGCCAAAGGTTACGACCTTTTCCATCTCACCCCTCCCAAGACCCTGTGTAGGTACGACCAGCAACAGATTACGACCCTTTTTTTTATTTATATAATATATAATATATTTTATCAAATAATATATTTTATTATTTTATTCATTTAATAGATATTTACAATACAATAGTTATATTTAAGATATAGATAATATCTAATAGACAATATTTTAATAATATTTAAATAGTATTTAAATAGAGTAATGATCCTATGAGACCCTCCCACACCCATGTGTGTAGGATCCCAAAGGATCACCATTAAATTTGACACAGATCTCTAGAAAAGTCAAGTCACACACCCATGTGATAACTTTTCTAGAGATTTGTGCCAAATTTAAAAATGATCCTTTGGGGTCCTACAAATAAATATAACTATATTTTTTAGTTATAATATTTAAATAATATATGCATATATTTAACATACTTACAAAATATATTTAAATGACTTATGGCCTCACTGAGGATATGACCTTTAATAGAGCAGCATGGAGTACCGGGATTCATGTAGCCAACCCCAATTGGGAAAAGGTTAAGATGATGATGACAAAATATATTTAAATACCAAACAAGTTACCAACTATGAAATTCATTACACAGGGCTTTTTGAATGTGTTACCAAACATGGAGAAAAGAAAGTTTGCTAAAAAAAATTTTCCTCATGTAAATATTTTTCCTAGGGAAATAGTTCCGCACCAACCAAAAGTGCCCTTATTAATTTCATATCTTGAGATAAATTATTAAGGAAAATTATCATATTTCATATGATAATGTGAAGGAACTTCTACACCATACAATATCTCAAAGGTATGCACTTATTAAATCCTTTGCCAACTGCTCAAAGACTTCACCGCCCATCTCAGTATGGGTTTCTGTTTCCTAGATAGTCCTCATTCAAGAAACTTAATATGTCAACCAATTAATACGGTAAATACAGGCCTCCTACTCCATCATTAAAGGACATACTAAGATATATGATTCTTTCATTTTCCTGGATTGAGCAATAATATTATATTATTTCTAGAGCATTGTAGTTGGCAAGTTGATAGAAAGTGAAAACAAGACTACTTTACTTTGGTTCAACGCAAACCTCGACCAATGGTTGAGATCATAGTTGTTGGGAACAGGATCGAGAATGTTCCAGGAGCGGGGGGGATTAGATGGACCGAGGCTACCTGGAAGCTCCTAATGATAGGGTTTGATGTCTGTAGTATGAAATCTAAGGAACTCGATCCCTGTGGTCTAGATCGAGCTCCCCAATTAGATAGGATCGAGTTCCCAATTAGATAGGAATAGCACCATTGCTTAGTCAATAGGAGCTCCTTGTATGGGTTCTTAATGATATCTTCCACTTTGTATAGTTCTCTAGCATGTGCACGCATGGTGTTGCATGCTCTAATGATTCATCAGCTGAAAAAACTGATTGATGGAATTCAATGTCCATACAATTAAATCCAAGGTACTCAATCCCTGTGTTCTGGGGATCAAGACCTAAAATTCTAAAAAACAAGATCTGTAGAAGATCCCATTATGGGATATTAGGATCGAGCTTCCGGAACGGATTGCCTACCAAAGTAGGCGATGCCAGTAACTATGGTTGAGATGAAAAGAACCACCATAACACTCATCTAGGAGCTCAAGCCCAAAAAATCACTTCAAGAAAATGTTTCTCAAACAATAATGTTATTCTTAGTCCAAGTACATACAATATCAATATGCATTCAAATAAAGAGACACTGATAGATCAAATGATCAGAATTAAACCTTACTAATGTCAGTAATATTTGGAGTCATCTTCGCCCATACAGGGATTGTAGCTTTCTTGTTTATCCATTCACAGACCTCTCCCAACAAATCGCAGTCTTGTCCAACTGCTGCACCCATCTTACGCTCAGGCATACCATGAGGGCATGAGAAGTTAATTTCAAAGGCATCCTGTTCCATGACAACAGCAGTAAGTAGTAAAAAATTACACCAGCTATAAAAAATATGAGTAGGTTGGAAAGCTAGAAAAGGCTTAGAAATAGGGAAGTGTAACATAATTGAATGAACTATAGTTGATTCAAAAAGCGAACTGCCCAACGCCTAGGCGGTCCAGAAGGCCTGGGCGCATCACCCAGGCCTAGGCGATCAATCTGGGCGGCGATGGCCTAGGCGGGCGCCCTGCCCAAAGGCGAAAATTTTTTTTGTATTGATTTTTTTTTAAAATGTAAAAGGTTAGAAGGATGGTTTTAAATTCATTTAAAACCTAAAACTTATTGGAACCCATTTTAGAAAGAAAAAGCCTCCAAAAAACTAGTCTATGGTGATTTCTTTAGGATCGGAGGGTTTCTCAAAGTTGATCAAAACAACACTCATTGATATTATATTTAATTTTTGATGTTTTATAAATCTATTGGGGTTTTTTAGAAGATTTTGAATACTTAGATGCATCTTTGAGGTGGAAGTTTGAAGATTGACCAATCAAACTCAAAGTAAGTGCCCTACATACCTAATTTTTATTTTTATACTATATATCCTTTTTTTATTCAAATGGGCATCCTTTTTGGATTCGACTTGGCCACCCAGGTTCTGGGTGCCCGCTGGGGGCTGCCTGGGGTCCAGGCCGCCTAGGACCCGCCTAACTCTTTTTGAAACATTGTTGTCAAGTGAAGTAATAAACAGTGATGGAAAGAGAATATTGACCTGCCATTCAGTTCATGTCCTGCTCTCTCTCTCTCTATATATATATATGTATATATTCTATCAGTGGATGGTGATTATCCCAATGGATTAATCTGGTGGGTTATAATTGGCGAACGAAATGAAGAATAGTGATAGAGATGAATCCAACATTAGGTTCATATCCAATTCTGGTGGATCCCTGTTCTTGTCTCTTCATCACCTTCCATTTCATTGGATTTTGATGAGCCCAATGGAGTAAAGGTTTCTCTAGTCCATTGGTTAAAGTTTATTGTCCCTATAGGATAATACATTAAAATTAAAATTGACAGGTTATCTTACAACACCAGTTTCTTCCACTCGCTCAATTAGTTCCTCCCAAGCAGCTTTATTGTATTCCTCCATAATAGAGGCAATGAGTATTCTGTCTGGATACTCTGCTTTTAATTGCTTGAGTTCTTTGAGCATAGTCTCAAGTGGCCTATCGCTGATGAGCTCAATGTTCTCCCACCCAATAATTTCCCCCATGGCTGATCCATTTGATCCTGCTCTGAGACGTGCATAGCGAGGGGTGACGTTTACAACTTTAGTAGAGTCCAGTGATACCTGGTGAGATCAAGGGAACATAACAACCATGATTGTTTCGTTTAGATAACCCCAGAAATGACCAAGGGACTTGTAGGCATCAGATCCTCAGCAGACATATGATAAGAAGACATCAGGGAGGAATGCAAAGTACAAACCACAGATGAAACCGGATTACATTTCTAGCATTCAAAACATAAGAGCATTAATCAATCAAGTATGGAATAGATGCTAATATGTTTTTCAGTGTTACTTTAGTGCTGTAAAAGAAAAGATAACACAGACGATAGACAACTGAAGTCATTGTCTTGAGTTGAACTGGTTACTTGAGAATCAACGAAGAATTTAGTAGAAGCAACAATTTGATTAATTCCAAGGATCTCCAGTCAATAGAATAATGACAAGACTATGCAATGTTGTAAGGCAAGATTCATCTCAAATAAACTCTTTTGCTGATTATATGAAGGATTTCTCAATCTTTCATTCTAAAACCAAAAGTAAAAATTTCATTTTGGAAAGAAACAAGCACTTGGCAGCAAAGGACGCAAAAACTTTGATGTCCCAGAGCTGCAAGTTGGATGAAAAATCAATCGATGTCTTATTACTTTTACATTAGTGTTGCTAGTCAATATCAATATCATCAACTCCATCAAGTTCTTCTTGGCACTAGCTCTTCTCTTGTGAATCATAGCTAATGACCAGCATTTACTGCATTGTTGTAAACTTTCAGAAAGAGGAGACAAATGTTTGAGAGCTCTACATGTTCGAACCACTGCCAGTTGGAGAATATGGCATTTTTCTTTATCCTTTATTTTTTCTTTTGTAATTACATATGATTGATAACCTTTATTTCAATAAGTTTATGAGTAAAATGGAAGTCCATAGTGGCCATTAATCCAATGCCTCAACCCTTTCCAAGCTACAACCAATTTGCCAGGCCAGCGAACTCATCAAGAAAAATTATCATAAAGCTATTATTACAGAAAAGATTTTTAATCAACAAAAATGGCTTCGGATGATTGCCCTCAGGCCATCCAGTCCTCAAAACATTTTCACCAATGATAAAACCACATTTCCATCATTTTTAATTTCCAAACAAACACTGAAACACATGATATATAAGTTTCAGTGTCTAATTGCACATACATTTCAATACATAAATAAACAATTTTATAGCATAGATGCAGACTTTTGCCGAAACACCTTAAATCTCAGATTTGAGGGATATACAAAAAGAACAATTTCAATCACTTGGTCTCAATCCCATGAAAAACCAAAAGGTAATAAAAAAGGTCACACAAACTCTTCGCAAACTCAGATAGTCAGATGAATGCATTACACATACCCAAATTTGTATCGACATACATGAACATGCATGAAGACGTTACAAAAGCACGTACGTTTCAATTTTTTTTTACAAAAGCACATACATATGTGCATGAGCATGCATATACATATGTGCATGAGCGTGCACATACATATGTGCATGAGCGTGCTACTTACGACTTTGCTGCTGCATGTGTGTATCGATGACATGCATTTATCTCAATAGATAAATAGGTGCTAAGTACACAATTGCGTGCGATTATATGTACGCATGCATATGAATCTTTTGTAATCTTGAAATTACAGAGGCATGCTTGAGCAAACAAAGATGAATTCTTCACTCTGATCAACCTTAAACTGCGTCAATCAATAGAAGAACTTGCAAACCAAAAAGACGAAAAATAAAACAGGGAAAGAATGAACATTTGTACAAGTTCTAATCCACATAACGCAAATCAAAATACAAATTTCCATAAAAACAAAGTAAAAACGGATAATAAATCGAAAAAATGAAATAAACAATCGCTAATGATTTGGGAGTAATTTGTCCAAATAAATCAAACAAGAGTATACCTCAGTTAAATAAAAGTAAATAATCAATCATTTCACCAAAGTTTGAGAAAATGGAGGGTTACATTTGAGTATTACACCCAGCGAAGTAACAGTTTAACAAAAACACAGAACGAAGTTTCGTACACAGATAATATATCAGAAATACAAATAGTAAGCAATTTCTCAAGCTTTCGACGAATTTTTTACCAAAAATGAAGCAAAAGATAAAAACTAAAAAAAGGAAAAAAAAAAAAGAAAAAAAAAAGGAAACAATTCCTTACAGTTTTCGCAATAACAGCCCCCCATCCTTCATCAAAAGCCCGTTTCATAACAGTGTAATTTGTGCCAGGAGGACCAGATCCAATAACAAAAGGGTTTGGAAGCTGGAGCCCATTAACCCTAACGCTCAGATCTGGTTCAGGAGCTGCATCACATCGAACTCTAAACGAGCTCGAATGGGCTCTAGAAGCAAGTCGTACTGGCTCTGGTTTTGGGTGCAAGAAGGCTCTGGTTGTGATCTGAACCGCCATTGCTGACATGCAATTGGAGAGATGGAAACGTTTCTAGGGAGAGCGCGGTTTAGGAAAGTGGAGGGGTCCATTTGGGAATCTGAGGTAAATAAAATAATATAATAGAACTGCCATGAATATTCAAAATACTCATGAAGAGAAATGAATATTCAAATTAACTCTTTCGATAGGTACGAACCAATGGTTTACAAACCGGATCGGTGACTCGGATCGGGCTTTTCAAAAATCGATCCGAATCGGCGAATCGGTGATCCGGATCGGTGAATCGGCGGTCCGGATCGGAATCGGGTGAA